TCAGGACACAGCAAACCCAAATTTGCACCAAAGTTGGGTGGCACAACACATGGAGAGGGAGTGATGGGGAAATTGGGTGCTGGAAGACCAGTCCAACTTGATGGACATCAGAACACAGAATGGAAAGTAGAATTTCTTTGGGCCTATCAACTACCAGTCAGTGTTTCTACTCAACAGAAAGGGAAGATTGTGCTTCTAAGATAAGGACCATAAGAATGAGGATGCTTGAACTATAGCATATGAAAGCAAAGGGGGAAGCAGGAGGAACAACTTAATCCAGGTCACCTACCCAAACCCCCTACTGACAAACCTGAAAGACTGAGTAAAATTTCACACTGCTTTTTGGTCCACACCATGAGACACTGTCAGGTTCAGTATTCAAATGTATCTTCAGCTGAAGATGTGGCTTCTGCAAGGCCACAGCTGCCAAGGTTCACATACATTTGGGTTTATAAACAGCTTCAATTCCATTCATGCATGAGAGCCAGGGCTGTCCAGACAGGAATGCTCAAGACCCCTCTGGGACACTGAGACATCCAAAAGGAGTAGTTCTCAGTAAGCTGAGCCCTGGCAAGATGTTAAAGCAACTCCTAACATCCTAACATGGGAGTCCAGAGTTTCTGAAGAAGGCAAATGTCCCATATTGATATAGAGGACTTCTGAAATTTCTGACCATAGCACCTGGGGAAGGAAGGAGAAATTAAATGTGCCTGAGTCTTTGAAAGGACAGACACACAGAATCATCATATAAATCTCACACTTTTGCTAAAATCCATAGCTGTCACTTTTAACTAATGCCTTCTCCTGGAGAAGCCTCACCTGAAGGCAGAACTGCTGCAGTGTGGGGACAGGACCTGTCCCAGAGGGCATAAACAGGCAGTGGCACAACTGTGAAGAGGGTGAGGAAGCCAATCCCTGTCCACAGCTCTGTGGTGGTTGATGCTGGAAAAGATATTGTTTCACACTACCAAAGCAAAATCAGACAAAAGAAAATGCATCAGGTTCTGCTTCTCAGCAGAAACTCTGTGTTTGTGTATGTGTGTGTGTGTGTGTGTGTGTGTGTACTTAGGAAGCATCTTCATCAGAAACAGACTTGGGTGTGGGCCTCTGACCCATGTGAAGAACATTCAGTGCTACCTTCAGGATGTTGCCTTAGCAATGATTTCATTCTGCAATTGAAGTGTGAGGGGGGACTGCCAAATGAAAGATCAGCTTTGGGAAGACCCTGTGCACGATGCAGCCATATCCATGGGAGCTGTGTCTGCCAGCTTCAAGCCTCAAGATGTTAATTTTCATAGCTGAATCTTCAGCTGCTATAACCAGAGCAATTTTAATTGTCATCTACAATTTATGGAAGTGTAGGATAAGAGCCCTTCTATAGAGAATTGTATACATTCTATCTCTGGTAACCAGATGTTGTCAAGCAAGAGGGAATAGTGGGAAGGTTAGAAGGACAAGGCACAGCAACTTTGAACCTCTGCTGCCTGAGATTATTTGTGCATCATTAGCCCTGGTGCAAAACAGAAGCCTTTTGTTAAGAAGCACTTAACAGGTAAACCTCTGCTCACCCTCCCTGGAGAGCCATGGGATTTTTGCAGGGAAGAATAAACGTGTCACTTTTCTTTATCTATCTAAATCCAGTTTTTGTTTTGCTTTGTTTTGGTTTTTTTGTTCATGTTTGGTCAGAATATGTTTTTTCCTGGAAAAGCCCAAGGAAATTTAACATTTTTTTCCTGCTACCAAATCCAAATATTTTAAAGATTAAATTATTGGCTTTATATCTGTAAGATAAATCTCATAAAAGAAGGAAAAAGAACACTTTGTGGTTCTTAACACACAGCCTGAGGCATCCCTGAGCCTGGGTCATTATCAGTCACTATGTAGTGAAGTAGGTGTCCACAAAGGAGATGGTGCCAAATAAAACCATCTTTGAGCATCCCTCTCCTCCTTCCCACCCATCAAAGCCAAAAGCGTTGTGTTTGTGTACCGTGACTGCCATCACATCAGATAAATCAATACCTGCCTACTAGTAGATGTGGTGAAGAATAACTTGATTCTTTGTTTTCTTTCTCTATTTGAGAAGTCTGCAAGTTTGCATTCACCCTATTATTTTTTATTTTGGATTGTCAGATCCACACACCACCCATTCCTCAGCTTCAAATGTTTTAGAAACCTCCCAAGCTCCTACTAATTTTCTTCAAAGTGCAGAACAGTTTCTTTAATCATCACCCTGGTTTAGGACATTTTGTCCTTTCTGAATAAGTGGTCTCACACTTCTGAGTCATCAGGACTAGAGACTGAAGATGCTGGCTCTGACTCCTCAATGTGCAACACTGAAAGGAGCCAATGCATCCAGTTTTTAAGGCCTTGCTGCAAAAATGACTCAGGCACTGAGGAATCTCAGCCTGTTGAAGGGACTTAGGCTCCCATGGTCCTTATATCTATGTAAAAAAAAAAAAAAAAGTATTTCAAGAAATTTTTCAAAGCTTATGCCTAAAATTCCAGCTATGTTCAGTTATTTTTTTCTTCACAAGCCCATCACCTGTGCAGTTTTGCCCTAATAAAAACCCCTGATGATAAAACTCTTTAAGAACTCAAAAACTGCTTGTAGTTTCAAACAGTAGTACTAGGGGATGCAGAACCTGGGAGCTGCCTTCTGAAATGCCTTTGAGACCTGCCTGACATTCCTATGTTATCTCCTCTGCCTTTCTCCCTGGAACAATACTATATCTAACCCAGAGGGTCAACTCTCTTCTTTCCCAGTGGAACATCTTCTGTCCATAGCTCTTCCTGCATGTGAAGAGTGACAAGTCTGCAGGGAGACCACAGGGCTTTGCACAATGTGCACAGCGACCTGCCTGCTGCTGCCACTCCATGGATGTCTCTGCAGAGCTAGAAAGAGCTCTGTTACTGTTGTGATTATGCCAGCAAAGACAAATACTATGGATGATGAGGTGGGGCAGTGCTGAAGCCTTACCAGGATGACTCTTGTGAATTAACTAAAATATCTCATGAGCAGGGTGGCCATGCCAGCTAAATACTCACAGTATCCCAAAATCATTTCCATATTCCTTGTTTCTTCATACAGCACCCTTAATCAGACCAAACTAAGCTTTCTCTGCTCCCAAAAGTCCTTTAAATACTACATAGGCTAATACTCCCTCTCAGATGCTCTTCCCACCCCCTCTCACTGATCCCTGCTGCACACCGTTTTCATCCCTGTTTCCCCACTCCCTCACATATGACAAACACAAAGCTGCTTTTCATCAGCCTACCCTAATCCCTCATTGCATCCCTGTTCAGGCGTGGAGAGGGTCCAGATAAGGTCAGTTCATTATTGGGGAGAAATCCCCACTCAGTGGTTTCTAAGCACAGCCTTCCAAGTTCCAGCCCCATGGCTGTGTTCAGGTGATGGTGTCCCTGAATGCTCCAAGGAGCAGCTTCACCTGCTCTGCTCAAGGGAGAGCCTGAGCTGGAAATGCTGAGAGCCAGGAGATTTTTAAGGCTATTTTTTTATACTGTTTTGAACTCTTTTTAGATATACTTTAGACCAAACATGCTGCTAGCAATATCTGGATTGCACTCACTTGCCCACCCCCTCAGCAAGCACCAGCCTGCATGCACTCACACAGATTTTCAAGCCACAGCAGGTTTTTTACAAAAATCTTTGATACCAAGGGAACCAAGGACAACCACTGCACAATTTACAAGGCTCACACAGATCTCCTCTTAGTGACAGTGTTTGAGGGGTGGGGGGCACCTCCCTCCCTTTGATTTTTTCCTTGCTGAACAAAAATCAGCTGTGGTAAGAACCAGCCTCCCGCAGGAGCACAAGGGGTGCAGAGTGTTGATCGTCAGTTTTGCGGTGTGTTTTATTTCAGAGAAGAGGCCCTGTTATCAGCATCCACGCAGAACTTATCTCTGTGCCATCTGCTGTCACACAGGTGTGCCTGGTGCCCCGCACCACCCGTGCTGCTTTCCTGCTTCAAAGTGTCGCTGTGTCTCACAAAATCCGCTGTGCGGGGCAGCTGATGTCACCCCGCTCCGAGCGCCGGGATGCTCAGACACGCTTCTAGGGGAACACCCCACCTCAAGCCGGGTGACCCAAAAAGGGCTCTAAAATCCCTGCCAGGGCTCCCTGAGCCAGCCGCGAGTGCAGCTGGGCTCCGGGGCTGGGGGAGCGCTCACCCCCCGAGCACAGGCGCTGCTCCTCCCTGGGAGCCTCTCCGCTTCCCACGGCTGCTGCCACTCCAGCCCGCTCCCCCGGGAGTTTACCCGAGCTCGCACCGGGAAAAGCGAAGCGAAACTCCGGCACCTCTGGGGAACAAGCGGCTTCCCCGGACCGGTTTTTGCAGAGAGGAGCGGGAGGAAAGCGGCTGCTGCTGCGTGGAGCTGGGAGGGGGATCCAGCCAGCCCTCCTCCCTCCCGGGGGCGGCTCCACCTGCGGGAGCGGCGGCGGCGCCTCCGCCACCGGCCCGGCCCGGTCCGGTCCCGGCTTCACCTCGGTCCCGGCACTCCCGGGCACCTCCGCCCGTCAGAACCTGCCCCTTCCCCTCCGTGCCGGTGCCCTGCCAGCCCCAGCAGCTCTGCTCCGGCAGCATCGCGCCGCCTCCTCATCCTTTCTTTGCTCCATGGCACCAAGAGTAACAATGCAAAGAAAAAAAACCCTACAGCTTTCTGTGTTGATCCGCCTGGATGCTGAGAAGAGCTCAACTCTGACTCTTCTGCATCTTTTCCCTTTTTCCATTTCCTATTTCCATTTCCTATTTCCTTTCTCCTTTCCTTTCCTTTCCTTTCCTTTCCTTTCCTTTCCTTTCCTTTCCTTTCCTTTCCTTTCCTTTCCTTTCCTTTCCTTTCCTTTCCTTCTTTCCCCTTTCTTCTCTCTCACCTCCCGAACCTTTCCAGTGCCCACCTTCCCACACCCGCCTCTCCCAGCCCACCCTGCATTAAACCCAAGTGTGTTTGCAGAAGACAGGTCTCCCCGGCAGTTTCCAAACTCACCTGCAAAATGCTGCTTGCTGCTAGAATCCAGGGCAAAAGCCACCTCATCCCTGGAAGCCGGGATTAAATACATTTGATTGAACCCAGATTTAGAGCCGTTTTGAACAAAAACACCACTTTGGGGAACGCGGAGCAATCCTGAACTGGCAACCTAGCCTAGGCACTCTGCCTTTTTCTCTTGGCTCTTTGGGGATTTTATTAAAGACAGATCTGACGTCACGGTGAAGGACAAGCCCTGCATTTTTCCTCTGGAGAAACTTTTCCTGCCTTCACTTCTTCATTTTTGTGTGTGGTGTTGTCCCACCTCCCGCATTTCAGTGCATCGCCGTGAGCCACAGGGCTCTTAAAGGGAAAGCTGCAGCGCCGGGGTCCAACACGCTGCGATTTTAGCACAGCTCCCAGAGGCTCAGAGCTCATCCCTCATGCTGCTGAAGGGGCTCAGACTCTTGCAGTGTAGCTAGTACGGCAAGAAATGCTTGATCTGGCTTTCCTGGTTACAATCAATGACATGACACGTATACAAGTATTCGCAGATGTTTGATTTATTTGGTTTTTAAAAAGGGTGACTTCATTAGAAGAGCAAAAGGACATTTGTGCTGCACACCCTGTGGGAAGCAGTCTGAAAACTCCTTTGGGACTCCCCTCTTTACAGAGCAACCCTAGATCACAGGATTCCCCTGTCATGCCACACATCCCTTCCATGATTTCAGTGTTTAGTGTGCATCAGCCCTGGGCCCAGTTACACTTCTATCCTGTGCCAGCAGTGGGCATGACAAATATTGTCCAGGTACATGGGAGTGCAAATCCCACCCTGAATTCAAACCTAACCCCAAGCTCTCTGATCACCTCTGTCCCTGCTAATGCATGCTCTGATCTTAGCTGAGGAGTATCTGATGTATTTTTCTTCTTTTACTTAGGTACAGGTATAGTTTTTTTCCCCAACCACACAAAATCTGAATTTGAAAGAATTTAATTCTCTTTCATCCTTAAACTGAAACAGAATATTATAAGGAAAATGAGTGCTAGCAAAGAGAAGGAAAACCCTGTTAAACAGCTTCCAAGGTCTTAAATGCAAGAATTTCTTCAGGGGCTAAAATAAGTGTCAAGGTAAATTTAAAAATAGGCAAACCTTTCCTCTTGATGTGACGGGCTGGGCAGTGATGGGTGGGTGAATCACCCTGATGGCCAGACTAGAACAATGATGTGCCCTTAACTTCTGCTCAGCTTTGGTTACCACCTGGAACTCAGGTGTGCCAGGCTGGGTTGGGATGTGCCACTCCCAGCCCCTCACCCAAAGCAAACATCCACACAAGGACATGGAGCTGCTGGAGTGAGTCCAGAGGAGGCCACTAAGATGAGCAGGGATGGGGAATCTCTCCTGTGAGGAAGGGCTGAGAGAGTTGGAGTTCTTCAATCTGGAGAAGAGAAGCACCAAGAAGACTTTTTAGCATCTTCCAGTGTGTAAAGGGGCTCCAAGAGAGCAGGGGAGGGTCCTTTGGCCTTCATGTAGTGACTGGGCAAGGAGAAATATCTTTATGCTGAAAGAGGCTAGATTTAGGTTAGGTATTAGGGAAAAAATCCTTTCCTGTGAGAACTGTGAGAGATTGGAACAAATTCTGTTGTGAAACTGTGAATTCCTTGTCCCTGGAGATGTTCAAGACCAGGGGCTCTGGTCCTCAATGGGCTCTGAGCAACCTGGTTAAGTGGAAGATGTCCCTGCCTACAGAAGGGGGTTGGAACTAGCTGATATTTGAAGTCCCTTCCTACCCAAACTATTCTGATTCTATCCCAGCCTTCTGGGTATCTGGTGCTGTGTGGGGTTTGTTCCAAGGTCTTGGCACAGCTGAATGCTCAAGGCTGGGGCTGGCAGGGGTGGGGAGGGTGAGAAATCTGCTCCAGTAACTTCTGGTCACACAGCAAAGTCTATCCTTTCATGCTGTGTGATGTGACATGGGCAGTTGAATGGTTTCACACCAGCTGGACCAGGGAGCTCTAAATGGTCAGTTTGTTTGTGTGACAGTCTGGACAGACTGCTGCTCTGGGAGATGATTCAAACAGAATTAAATGCAAACTGAAGGAAGTTCCATGAGGTGTCTTCTTCCTCCAGCACCTTTACCCCTACCACAGTCCATTCACAGGACTCACAACCGTGGAGACCAAGCTCAGGGTTGTGTTTTCTGTCAGGTTCCTCCAGAACTGTGTCTATTCTCCCTCCTCTATATCCTCCCCCATTTGTCCTCACTTCCTCCTGTTTGTTCATTCCAGCTTTTTCTATTTCAGTATTTCTCCCTCACCCTGCTGTCACCAGCACATCCTTCCTTGTACACTGTTGATATTCTGCTGGGGGATGTAGAACAAACCCCGCTAAATTGATGTCACCCAGGTGATGTTCATCTGCCTGTGCATACTACTGGGTGCCAGACTTTGGGGCCCAAACCTCTAATACTTTGTGAAAGTAGCATTTTGAGAGTTCAATTTCCCTGAACTAGGTGAAATTACTTTTTTTTTTTTTTAAAAAAAAAAAAGGTGAAACTATTTGGGTTAGCATAGAGAAAAAGGCTCAGATGTAAACCTGAGAGCTAATATTTCATACAAATTGTGATTGCTGTCTTGGAGATGAAGGAGCTGTGATAGCAGGTCTAGCAAAAGTAATTTTCCAAATTAAGGACGAACAAGAGTTTAAAGTTCCCATGATATCTCAGAGTGCAACATCATGGGAAAGAGCATTTTAGAAATGACATAAAAATGGCATTGTGTTGGTTTGGACTTTTTCCCAAAAAAACTTTGCTTATCTCCCTCTCTTTGACTATCTACTCATCATATTTCATTGCCTCAGTGAATTCCTTAGAAAATGCTGTGGTCAAGTGTGTCAGCAAGGATGAAGCCCTTGAGATGTTTGATCTGGCTGTTTGAAGCTCCACAGCCCACCCCAGCTGGTTTGTGAGTTTGTCATATGATCATAAACCAGGCACTCTGTCCTAGCCTGGACAAGACAGGGCTCAAGGACTGGGACCCCAGGCAGGGGTGCTGAGATATCCCAGTGCCTGAGCAGCCTTTCTGATTGTGATTCCTGTGTGGATACAGCACACTGGGGCACTTACAGGTGTGTCTGGGTGTAATGTGATTTCATTAAATCCCAAATCACGGGGAAATTTTGGCTCTTGTTGAGCTCTTTGATAGCAGCAGCCCAAACCTGGGATTCTATGAGCTCTCAGATCCCTCTAAGGATGACAATGCTAAAAGAGATCACTGCAATCCTATGTCATCCTGGCTTGATCCTGGGCAGTCTCGTACTGACCCCAGTAAATGAAGGCTCTAAAGACACTTCTCTGTCTAATTCAAAGATTTAAACTTAAGATCTTCAAATGATGGAAAATCCACTTCATGTTTTGATGAGTTCAGTTACATTCACTATTAAACATTTGTGCCATATTTCAGTCTGAGTTTGCTGGTTTCATCTTTCTGCCAATGTCTGCTTGGCTGATGAGAATTTAGCACTTTCTTCCAGCATATAAATATGCAAAAGTTCCATAAATCACTGCTGACTCTTCTTTTTAATAAAACAAGGAAGCCACATTGCTGTTAATTCCCAGTGTAAAATTGTTTTTTGGGAACTTGAATGTAATAATTTTATGACTTTTATCTCTTTCCATGGACATTATATATGTGAATGCTACTATCCATCACTCTATACCCATCCAGTGAACAGGAAACAGGCAGCAGGTCCCAGTTCAAGCTAGCTCTGATTCTGTCAGGCTAATGCCTTAATATCACTTCTTCCTCAATAAATCACTTATGCCTCTCGGCCACATAAACAGGCTTCTCATATTGACTTCATTTTACAGTCTTAGAACAATTAAACTGGGAAATAGATTGATTTATTTTATGCTGTTTGATTTGTCTGACACTTTTACTGAAGGCTGTAGTCAGCCAGAGAATACAGGGATTACTAAGAACAGAAGGAGAGCTCAGGGAGGATGGATCCTGTTTTCCCTTGAAAATGCATGGCAGAAATAGATCCTTGCCTGTAGCTGATTTCCTTTGTAAATAAGTGAGATCAGAGTTTACCTAAAATTCCAAGGAAAAAAAACCAAAAAACGAACACCTTGGACTTTCCTGACTCATAAATGGTAAAGGCTGAGTCATGAATCTGACTTTTAAATAAACCAAACCACTAGCTGTGTTAGTTTCCTATCAGGCTGCTTTTTTTTCTGCTTTTCTCTGTGCTGAAGGTGACATCCCTTTCAATCAGCAGAAAGGCTGGGATTCAGGGAGCACATACTGGAATGGAAAGGGAGGTGGAGAAGTCAAACTGCACCATCAATTATTGTTGTTGTTATTGACACTACTTAGGTGATAGGAAGGAGAGTTACATCAGCCTGGGCCTTTGAAATACCAAAGAAGCTTTACAAAGAAAAGTATGAAAACATCTATTTTAGTTGACTCTTGATAACATCAAGCATCTGAACACTCAGCCAGCCCCACTTCAGCACAGGTGAATATCTCATTTTCAGAGCTGCTAGCCTTTGCAGATGAGAACTGACCCCTGAGTGAATGAAGCTGCAATGCTACAGGAAGACTCACTCTTTTAATGTCTAAAGAGTCTTTCCAAAGAAGAAGATGGACAGGAATCACACTGAGGATAGAGAGCCAAAGGCTCCTTTGCTCCTGTTCAGCCTGGTGTCTCCCTGAAATGGAGAATGATGCAGAAGGTACCAGGAGCTAAGGTGGTAAATCCAATACTGAATTCCCTCAGTCCTTTAGAAGTGATTTACCTTGGAATGTCACTCAGCCCAGGTTTCCATTACTGAGTATGCATGCACCATGCTGTGTGGCTTGAACTCCCTATGCCAGAATATTTGTGAGGCTGATCACACACCCGGCTGCTAAACAGAAAATCAGCTGGTCCTGGTAATCCAGCCTGACTGTCAGCACTCCAGGACCAACTGATCATTTCTCCAAAGTGCTGGTGTAAATCAACCCCACTGATTTAGGTGAGGCAGCAGCCAAGTCTGAAAAATGGAACATTCAATATTTAATTCATTCATGCAGCCAAAACAATTTATTCCCACCATTTGAGCAGGACTATTGCCTTTGAGGAGACATGACTGTGGTTTTATTCCCCATAAATAAAGTCAGATTTATTAGGACAGGTCTTCAGCTGGTGTCAATCTGTGTGACTTCTTTGATTTCAGGAGTACTAATCTGGCTGACAGCATCTGAGCTGTTCCACTGTGAGCAAAAATGTACAGGAGCCAATGACAGTGGCTAAG